AGTGATACGTATTAGCGTCACGTATCACACATCCACGAAAGATGTCATCTGCACATGGCCGTTCTTTGAGAAGTCAGCCACATATCACAGCCACATATCATCCCCGGCGGCGGAGATAGCTCCACAAATAACATCACGAGCTGATCAAAATTCGCCAGATCAACACAGCGTTCAATGGTGAGTCCCACATCTCTGACGTCAGCCTGACGTCAGTCATAACCCTCCCAGGGGGTCGTGGACTACACTGAGCAGCGGTGAAGCCCCGCGCCCGGTCGGCATCCTCCACCGGCCGGCCGGTGGGACCTTCAACCCGCCGACTGGACGCCGAAGGCCGCGCCGGCTCTGGGCGCTCACCGCCGCCGGTGGGCGCAGCTCCGACGGCCAGAGGAGTTACGGCCGATAGCGGCGGCCCGACCTCGTGCACGGGCCATGGAGGATGCATACGATCGGCGCGGTCACTGCCCTCCGAGTCAGGCACTCCCCGCGCTCCGGTTTGGTGCGTGATTCGTGAAATGCTGGCGTTAGTTTCCGCATCTTATGGATTGAAAGAAAACATCCTAGATGCATTCATGAATATACATATAAAAAATATGTATGCACTAAAATGTTCCAATTGCACTTCATAAAACCTCGGGACTCGAAAATCCAAATGTTCCGAATTTTCAAATCAGGTTGTTTCCGAATTCCACTAGGCACCGGTGGAATTTGTCTATTTCCGGTCACATTCCCGGTTAGGATTCTGCAGTCGTGTCTGTAGCGCAATCACAGACACCACAGTCACGGACCAACAATGACAATCTCACGAGAAACGCCGCGGCTGGCCAGAGTCGACACTACTGGGCGCTATTCGACCAGATTACAGACATTCATGGCGCGTTCCGGCCATACGGCGACCAATGTAGCGCACTCTGAACCACCACCGGCGGCAGACGCGGCACACGACTACGTCTCCGAGATATCGGCTATCAGGCCGGGGCGGCGACTAAGTTCGGTGTCAGCGGCGGGGTTAATCTGCTTAGCGGGCGCCCGTCTTTGTCCGTTAGGTCCCGGGGGAGGCAGTCGAATGGCCCATGGACATGTCATCCGTCCCCGCACGGGCCACAAAGTGTGGAGGTCGAGATACGAGGGGATGGCACACCAGGTGTAACCGTAGGGTGCAATCATGACGGGTACGAGGCCTCAAGAAGATCTCGCTTGGCAATGACGGTGAGGGTTTTATGGAGTTGGATTACCGCCCACCCAAACTTAGGCCGTAAAGAAATCCAACGCCAGAGTGGTCATTAAATCTGCTCCATGACAATGTAGAATGTAAATGCAAACAGCTGAATATATTTATGGGACGTGTGTGGCGTTTCGTGCGGTGAAGTGTGACGTCATAATTTTCGGGATGTTGCTAGGCCAGGAGAAGAAAGAAGAGAGAGAGAGAGAGAGAGAGAGAGAGAGAGAGAGAGAGAGAGAGAGAGAGAGAGAGAGAGAGAGAGAGAGAGAGAGAGAGAGAGAGAGAGAGAGAGAGAGAGAGAGAGAGAGAGAGAGAGAGAGAGAGAGAGAGAGAGAGAGAGAGAGAGAGAGAGAGAGAGAGAGAGAGAGAGAGAGAGATGAAAATATATGCTTAAGTGCGATGTAAATTCAAAGACAATGAAATTATTTGGAAAGGAATACGGCACCGCAGATCGGTCTAAAACGATTGAAAAGAAAACATGATTCAGACCAAAAGGGAAAAACAAAAGCTGTACATGAAATGACTCCAGCTGTAGCATGAAATTATGAAAAAGCTTCAAAAAGGAAGACAGCTAATAAGGAGTGATGATAAAAGAAAACTACCATGCCTAAGGTGAATGGAATGTCGATGAATTACGAACATGTCACCAAACCAAAGCAGGAAAGAATTCCATTGGTTGCAGCGCAGATGCAGGAAGCAGGGTCTGGCCGCCCTCCCCAGCTCCAGTGACGTCACTGTTTACTACCTCAGCGGCCGGTGACAGCTCCGCCGCAGACTCCACCGTCACGCCTGTCCTGAGTAGGTCCGTCATTGGAGACACTAGGAGACAGAGTGGGCTTCTCGTTTGTTAGGACCTGTCCGCGCCTGCCGTGCGGGGTGGATTCATTTTTTTGGGTTCGCTTTATTTATAATGGCATTTCTGATGCCTCAAGCAGGTAGCTGTAATTGCATCATCATTCCGGATGTAAACCACTTGCAGGTAGCTTCATGCATGCCTTACAAAAAAAAAAAACGGCAGGAGCGAGAGATAGTTTCATTTCAGAAGACGTAAATTCTTCATTGGACATTAAAAAGGCACGTCAAAAATAATATTTTGCTAAGCAGAACAATTAAGATAATTTCAGGTTAGGTATGTTTAATAATCGTTATCTTATCAGACATTGGAGTTCGTCGTGAGATTTACTGATTATCCCTTTGCCCCTCGGACCTATGCGTCTGTCCCACGAAACCTCGCCACATCTACGCGACGTTGATCTGTTGTTTCAGCTTAAAGATAACATCCATCCCAACCGTCGAACTTCTTCGCCATATGAGAAATCTCAGGGATGAGGGAACAGAGCAACCCCCTGCCGTTCCATGACAACACGGCACAAAAATAAACATTTATTGCCACAGCCGATCAAAAGCCGCCCGAAGTTTGCAGTCAAAATGCTTGGCGCTCTCAGCAGGCGACGAAACAGGGCACCCAGTGATCTGTTGTCTGTCATGTGTCAGTTTTGTCGGCACGAGGCTAACAGAGTTGACAGATCTGACCGCAAGTCCATGCGCGACGAGCAAAACTGTCAATAAACAGCTGTCATCTTTATAAGGAGGAAAAAAGATTACTAATTTGCGGTTACAAAGTGCATGATAAGCCTTGCTTAGGCTTTATCTACATGGGAATGCATCACGTTTAACAGTGATTCTCGCAGTCCAGCATACTGCAGTGGAAATTTAACTGTTACAATCTCCAGCTTGTCACAAAGTATATCATAAAACGTCTTTGAATAAATAAGCATGCAAATCAACTACTGATGAGGCCTTGGATGAGGCATTCAGCATATGAAGTAGACAGAAGTGTTGCATTGCCGGCATCTGTTAATTGTAAGCTGCACTTACATATATGATCATAAGACTATTTTGCAATTATATTATTCATTTCATACAGCATGTTACAACAGCCACAAATGCTCAATTTTTTTTTTTATAAGATTCGCAACTGCAGAGTGAGAGTGCACAACGATGAACTTCCAAATGGCAAGCTAAATCCATCTCGAATTACGGTTCGAGTAAAAAATAAACAAACATTTCCTTCTCCCGTGACCTATCAAAAGTCAAAGGTAGCTGAGTCCATGCACCCTTTTCAGCAAGGACAAACAGCTAAAAATTGACTGGCCGGCTAGCTTGTTGAATGCTGATATTCATCAAACAAAACAGCCGAGGAGGCACCACTTAATCCTTTTCCACCGCCAGCAATGCTGAGAACTCTATCGTGGCACAATATCTTATGTCCAAATCAGTCACGACTCAATTCCGTCGCAAAGACATTTTAATCAAATCGGAGGCACCTACCGATAAATAATCGTGATTCGTGATTCGTGACTGAACAGATTATGACGGCACCACCCACACTCGATGACGTCACAACTGTACAGTGACGTAAATGCAGTTAGTGTGACGTCACAAACCATGGCGCGTGGTTGCGTATCGTCTGGATCATACAAAAACTAGGCCAGATTGGCCGGCGTCATGTACCGCTTCAAGCCAGCTTTAGATGCTATCGACAAGCATTTTCCTAGAGCTTTGTGTTTCTGCCGACGTTCTGAAATGATAGGCTACTAAGACCAGTTGTATACAACATTGCATTAAAGATATGTTGTCGAAGACATAAAAGTACAAAGCGCCTTACAAATGTATCACAATTGTAAGCAATGAAAACTTAATTGCCACCAAAGCTGATCTAAATAATTGTGAAATATTGAAAGAATAGACGGATTCTCACAATTCTTTTTCTCTAAGCAACTAAAATAATTACTTCCATGGTAGCCAAATGTGTGCAACGCTGCGCATAGTTTCATTTCGGAAAGACTTGCTTTACTCGCAGAGTACAACACAAATAAAACAAAACCAAAACAAACAGACAAAGACCAGAACAACTAGCAAAGACTAGTAACAAGCCTCATATGCCTATTGAAAAATGATACACTTCTGCCCTATCGATCGTTCAGGCTTCGGGCAGCCTTCTTATCGAATAGCTGTCTACAACCAGCTGGCAGATTGCCCTGCTGAATAGCCTCGCTCATGTCTGTAGTTCATTGAATGGTAGAATGGGGGGCCTTCAACAGAACCAACACTAAACGTACAATTTTCCCCAAAGGCAATATGTCCGGTCATTGGCGCAGTGTGCGACTGCGACTGATTCAATGATTCACGCTGCAAGTACGGATGGAAAACATTCCATCATTCGAATGTTTGTCATTGAAATGTTGTTCGGACAGCTTGTTATGGACCAGTCCGGGGCACGCGATTCGGCCGTGGACAAACTGCTGGTATGTCTTGCATGCTCTTTCATAGCGCAGTGCTTGTTTTCCTCTACACTAGTGGATGCGTGGCCGCAATATAAATCAGAGTGTCCCTAGGATTGACTATTTTTTGCAACCTTGTTTTATGACTCACATTTACGAATCATTTATCCTCTCATCATTGAAAATCAGTCTACTTCTCACCAAACCATTTTACGCCCCCCGACATAAATGCTACCACCATTCAGATGGCATCATTTTCTTTAAAAAAAATATTATTCTTACGTGATTGTCTCTCCTCTTTCTTCTTTATTCTTTACTTTTCTTCTTCATTTCTTGTCTTTCCATAGCTCCATCTGTTTCTCCCGATCTCCCGGCCGCCCGCCCACCCACCCTCCCTCCCTCGCTCCCTCCCCTCCCCTCCCCTCCCCTCCCCTCCCCCTCCCTCCCTCCCTCCCTCCCTCCCCTCCGCCCGCGGCGCCTCTCGGCACGGCACCCACCTGCAGTACTGGCAGCACTTTCTCGATGTGATGGTGATCGAACACCTGCCCTCGTACGAACACCTGAAGTGCTTGTACGCCTCGTTCTGTACGCTGCGCCGGAAGAACGCCTTGCAGGAGTCGCAGGCCATGCCGCCAAAATGCAGACTCTTGGCGCGATCGGAGCAGACGCCGCAGATTTTGACCACGCCGCCGTGCTCGACGGAAGGTCCAGGCGGTAGGAGCTGGGCGTACATGCGCTCATCCAGCATCGATGGAAAGTCGGCCTGATTTACTGGGGAGATACGACGGAGAGGGGAGGGGAGGTCAGAGAGAGAGAGAGAGAGAGAGAGAGAGAGAGGGGGAGCGGGAGGGAGAAAGAGAGGGAGGGGAGGGAAGGGAGAGAGAGAGAGAGAGAAAGAGAGAGAAAGGCAGACAGACAGATAGACACAGACAGACAGACAGACAGACAGACAGACAGACAGACAGACAGACAGACAGACAGACAGACAGACAGACAGACAGACAGACAGACAGACAGACAGACAGACGGACGGACAGACGGACAGACGGACAGACGGACAGACGGACAGACGGACAGACGGACAGACGGACAGACGGACAGACGGACAGACGGACCGTGAATGTGAACCGGAAATGGCTGCAATTTCTGCCGGTTTACAATGCCACACTTTTAAAATGTGCCACGTGCTCCTGAAATTGAACTATTGGCTAGCTCCTGGAAGCACTAGATGTCGTTATCCTAATAAATGGCGACGACAGTTCATCCTTCCAGCCCAATGACTTTTCAGAAAGCTAGAATTAGCGCATGTTATGAATAGCAATTTCCCGCTCATTTGGGCACATATAACAATGAATGCAATAGTTGCTAAGGAACAGGAGAAGATGGATTGGAAACCTAACACATCGCATGTAACAGAGGCGCAGGTGAACATCAAACGTTGAACATACAAAGTAGTCGCCACACATGTCGATCGCTCGTGGTCGTAGATACACATATACATGCATACAATATTCTGCTTCACTTAGAACGCCGACATAAAGGCGCCATATCGTACCAGACCTAATGCTCAGCAAACAAAGTCTGCTTCCTGCTATTTAGAACGTAGATTGATGTCCGTCCATTACTTCCGTAGGGAAATCTATAGCAATGACGGGAAAGTCCAACTTTGCATCGCCAAAACTCAGCAAGAACTCTGACGGGCATATACATTGCGTTAATTTAGGTGGAAAGACGATTCCTCGCCATAAACACAAGTAAAAGGCTATTGAGCATTTCGCTGTGGGTATAGTTTGTGCACTAACTGACAGGAAAGTAGCGTGTGCATTACCTGTAATGTGTATGTCGCAAGTTGAAGTTGGGCGCATCAGTGGCAGCGGTAAATGACTGGCAGTTGTAATTATGGTCTGATGCACAATTCTTTATGGTCTGCGGGCGGGACAAAGGACCCGAAAAGGAGGAGAACTGACCATAATTAAGCGCCATGCATAAGAAAGACTGAGGCTGAGCTAAAATACGTCTTCTAGGAATGTAGTTGTTGATATGCCTTTGAAACTTTACATAAATGTGACTGTAAGTAATATAGTTTAGATGACATTAGGAATGCACGACTAACTGTAATTAACCTTTCCAGGCATAAATATCAATTAATACATACTTTACGGTGCGTTCACTGAAGATTAACCGTGCGTTAATTCGAAGGTAGCCGTGCACCAATTTAAATTGGTGCACGCGCGTGCAGTGATGACTTTCTCGACTGAAGTTTTTCGGAAGGGTCATTGACTTTATTCTTAGAATTCCCATAAAAAGCCCTTTTAGTGGCATGGGCTAGGTTTAATTTTGATTTAAATTCGCACCGTTAAGCATGTATTAATTAGTTTAACACATGGTTTCCGTGCATAAATGGTTTTAACGCACTCGTGGATGGAATGGAGCACTCGTGCGTTAATGCACTCGTTTCACTCGTGCATTAACACACTCGTGCTCCAATCCATCCACGTCGTGCGTTAAAACCATTTACACACGGGAAACCATGTGTTAATATATAATAATCAATTAACAATGATCAGATGTACCACACATCTAAAGAAATCTCTCTCCAATTAGACAAGAACGGCAGACAAAACAGCAACAATCCAAAATATTTTGCATCAAAACAGACTCGACTCCGTCCGGTCACTACCCATCAACTCAGCCCCTCTCCAGCCCGTCAGCCTACTGCAGCGACGTCTTTCTGTCCTGGCTATCACGGTCAATACCCAGCGGCATTGACTCTTACCGTTCCTACCCCGTCCCCGCTGCCGTGTTAGACTGTGTGTTTGGTTGGCGCGCTGTGAGGCCGGAGCCACAGGTCTCGGTCAATATCGGGCTCACATCGTGTTGTAGCCGCTGGAATAAGCCATCGCCAGGTGGAGTGTACATTGTTTCTGAATTATATGACGATTTGAAGTGATAGTGAGGGTGCAGCGGACGGCCAGACGTGGTCGAACATGGGGAATGTGTGTTTGAACATGTGACCAGAGGCTGCAGTGATAAATTAAAGATGAATGTAGTTTGATATATCGTTGAAGAAACACAGAAAGTCTGAGCTATGTGTGGGCTCAACTTGCTAAACCGGAGAAAAATATATGCCTGCCTTCGAAGCTACCCAAAACAAGCATTTTAGCTGTTTAAAGACGATTTAGAAAAACATAGGTACTAAATGAAAACTGAAACCCACAGAATGAATGGATCTTCGGCCAGATGTCTAGAAATTTTGTTCTAAACATTTTCTGCCCCATTCCGTCTAAAATTACGAGCACATTGCTATCGTTGAAAATATGCTTCGTATTTTGATTCAGTCGACCAAGAACTATTTGCTATTTCCCGTAAAAGCTAGCGCAGTTTCGAATCCAAATCTGAGATCAATATACAATCGGTATTGTCGTTCAGGGAAAACAGGAGCGTGCCATTTATCAACCAGCGCGGGGTACCATTTCGGAGCCTTTCTGATTTTCCAGGAAAACCTGCCTCAATCGATGGCACGAAATCAATCAGCGACTGCAAAAGCATGAAAGACCATACGAGCCGTGCACAGTGGAGCGCATGCTCAGTTTTATTTTCATTGGAAATAATGAATAGATACATTGACCACTAACCCACCATAACTGGCTCATTCGTGATGAAGCCAGCGCTGACAAAGCCCTATCACGTTATATAATAATTGGAACTTATGATATGCATTTCTTTTCTGCTTAGATATTGTCACAACTCGAAGGTCAAATCTATCAACATCAGACATTTATGTCGAAAAGCAAAGCTCTCAATTTCTCAAAATCTCTCAACTAATAGTGATATCGATATGTTGGGTTATTGTTATTGCCCTGTTTTGACCAAATCGCAAACCCATCAAGGACTAACCACCCATTCATTTCCTGATCGGATCAACAACCCTCTCAACGCTGTGCCTCTCTGGTGATTTGTCAAGCCATCGTTGTAACCATATTGCTAACCGGTGACGACAGGCCGAAATTCCTCACCAACCAATGCCGAAAATCCACTGTGCACCCGATAGAGGTCAAGGGCACAGTATGAGCGCTTCTAGCGGGAGTAGCCTGCGGCTATGCTGAGGTCACAGAGGTCACAGGGGTCACAGGGGTCACAGGGGTCAGACAGGTGACCGGACGGTGGGCGGAGACAAAGCTGCTTATCAGGAACGATTGGACTCGCGGATCTATCCCGTTGCCATTCAATAATTAGCGATAATGGACAGATGATTGGAGAGACTCGTGTTTAGCCGCGTCTGTTTAGACTTTAGGCTGATTCGTTGACGAGAGAATAAGCTGATTACCATTGATAGGGGATGTTCAGAGGTGTATGCATTGGTAATATTAGCCTAAGCTACCTCGAGTTCATGTAAGTTATTGGACACAAGCTGATCAGGACTGGTGTTCGTTTCCGGTACTCAAAGGCGGTCACTTAGCCGCTTTGGTGTCAGTGAAGCCACGTGAACAAGGCCAGACTTTCAGCCGAAAACCCGGGAGCCAATAATAACGACAACAAAGATCGCAGAGGCCTGAAGTTTTAGGGTACCGGCAGAACGCTTGTTCGCAAATACACTGCAACGTTTCCATTGTTTCGAGGGCATCAATAACTGCCACGAGTATAGCATAGTCAGGAGAAAATTGGATAAAAACGCAAGCGATTTTGAACTACCATTTGGGCTTCGATAGATCACCTTTTTCAAAGGCGCGAGGGATTAGTTCTGCATATGACCAGCTTCATGTATTATTTGCCAATGGACAGTGTCATAGATACCTGTGAATTTCTGCACAAGGGTATATTGAATTAGGTGTAGAGTGTACAGAGACTTCAGTCAGTAACCAATAGGTAGACCTGGATAAGCATGATACATTTCTCAGGAACAGGAAAGAACGCCAGCGCCCGCCGCCCGCTCAGTCTACCAGCGTTGTGCGTGGCGGCCTTGAGTAATGCGGCACAGTATACTCCTAGGCGTTTGACGCCGGTGCCATCTATTGGCAAGAATGTCAGCTATCTACGCGCAGGCGGCAGGTGCTGTTTGAGCATGATGGAAAAAGGGCTACATTGAGATGTCTCTAAAGCTGTTTGTTTTTAGTTATAGTGCTGCTGAAATCGGTGACATGAGAAAAGTACATGAGAGTTGTATCTATTTACGATTTTGCCTACTATTCCGGTTTTTTGAACGAACTCTTTTTATTAAGTATCAGCATGCTATCTCTGAAAGCTTGACGCCACTGTCCGTTTGTGGATATTTGGTAGATAACCAATAACTGACTATATTGTGAGCCGGCAAACAGACAGCATAGCAGACAGGGCTTATTTCATGTGAGTTTTGTCCGAATTTTTTTGACAGGAGTTAAAAGTTATCAGGGGAATATATTTTCTTTTTGTAATATATTTCCAAGCATTCTATTGAAATTATTTAAACTCCAAAGGTGCATGGGTACGTACGTCCGCGTTTGTGAACTTAAGATAAGGAGACTTATGAAAGAAAGCTCTAAATAGCTCCTCCATCTGCGATCGTGTTTAACTGACCATGCCCAAAACCGTCAAATAACGAAGTTCAAACGCATTCAGTGTTCTCCTTTGTTTTCTTTACCACATCATATCACGCACCATACATTAGACGATTTCCGACATCGGATTAACCCCACCCACGCAGCTCTCAAGGCCGACCAACTCAATCAGAACGTATCTGCATACATATACGATGCTAAAATTGAGGGAACATAATTTCAGTTTTCTATGCACTATGGAAAACCCCCGAGCAACAAATGGATTCGAGCCCAAGGCTTCGATCAACGAATGCAGAGACTGCGCGAACTACACCTACGTTTCAACCTATCACCACCTATGTGATACATACAATGCATTTTACCTCATTTGCAAATCAGAGACGTCGCTCACAGTCGGCCTATCATGCAATTTCACATAGAGAAGCGACAAACCCAATGGTGCATATTTTGTTCGATACGAATAAAATATTGCATTAGTTATTGTTGTCATTATGATATTATTGATGCTCAGCGCCCACCCTTATGAGAATGACCATTTTCGCTAAAAACGGGATACGAAAAAACATGCAAGCAAAAATATATTATTTTCATACCACACCTAGGGATAACTGGCAGCTCTTGCACAATAACAAGACAAACCAGCAGCTCTAGAACTGACCAGTTCGTAGACTGGTACGGTATAAGTGGATTGGCACAGGTCGCCGAGAACACGCAATCCACGTGTTATGAGGATACCATTGGGATTGATGGGGTCTCCTGCCCGAGGATTTCCTCAGAACGCTCTCAGAAGACGAGCGAGTTAAAGCTAGAGGGATTGTGGAATAATATATAACAGAATAAGGAGAACCCACTTCTACGGAATACCTTGACTACAGCTTGTCTGATAGGATTGTGAAGTAATTCGCCGGTGTTAAATTGTAGGCAAGTGGCTGCAACTCAAATCTGCGTTGCTTGACACCGTTGCCTGCAATGCGAACCGATAATTTCACAGATGTTTCACGTTTTGTCATAAATATGGTCTTCTGATTTGGGAATTGAATCGACGTTAATAGTTAATGACATTGCGCAAATACAGTGAGCCTGAAGGAATACACTTAATCAGTGAATTCCCTTGGCTTAGGGAAAACATCTTTACCATGCGAAAATCTCTCTCATCTACAAATGAATATGGCCTTGAGCTATAAAAACGCGGCACCTGACGCATCTGCACGCCTGACACTTCAAAATGTCAGAATAGTAAAGGTGATCTAACATTGGTCCCAGGAAATATCGCACCGTGACATGACCTTTGACGTGTCGATATTCTGATCCTGAAACTAACCGCACTCGGCAAACCCATCACCAAAAACCTCCGGTACATGCACCCACTCCGTGTGCCCTTTTCTTCATTGCCGACCACCGATCAACGATATCCTTCCACCTCGGGAGCGATATAGCGGAACCAGATACGCCACGTCTCAATTCGCCGTCTGGCTCTATATGACGGGTCGACCCTCACGTGCGGCGGGTACAGGTGTCCCCGGGAAGGTGATGGTAATACTCCGCCCACGTTCCGAATGAAAATAACGGAAAGACTGCTGCCGGGTAGCTGGGCTGGCTAGTTGGGCTGACTAATCTATCCTTGCTGTAGCCTGCATGAGGTTTGGGCATGCCACTCTGCTGAGTGACATGCCGATACGGAATTGTGCTTGCCATGATTGCGTTTTTTTTCTGATGTGTTTGCCAAAAGGGGATAGGATGGAATCAAAAGGAGTCAGAAGAAGTGAGAAATGGTGGGAAGAGGGCGAAGATGTTTGTAAAAAGTCACTGATCACTGAGCTAGGACACGTAAATCCAGGTCGCAGAATATACATGCAAGACAAATATAGACACTCAAGTTATCAAAATTGACTGCCAGCCCAGATACGGCTGATGCCTCGGTAGCCTGGCATTATTGTCAGTTTCTGGCTATTTACAACACCTATAAGTCCATTTTTGCTATTTGCAGCCAGTCTACCTGCAAGTGCCATCAGACAAACCGGTTAGTGGCCCTAGCGGAGTATAAAAAAATAATTTTTTCGGTCCCCGGTTTACTCCGTTCGTAGATCAATGCCTATTGCAACATGCAGCCGAGTTGCTTCCCCACACTAGCTAATTGGGTTCCATTGTTCATAACGCTGATTGGATGATAGCGTCAGCAATTTTTAGCATCAAGGTGTTATGAGCACGCGGTTGGCATGATTATGCTATTCCGGCCTAGTCAATTCTGGACACCTACAAAAATATCATACAAGTTGCAAGAGCATACAGCATACCGTTTACCACGCACAGTTTCTCTGGAAACTTGTTTGATTTTTTAAATACATTTTAGCGGTGTGTATATGAAAAGCGCAGCCTTACTTGTCGAGCCTAGGTTTGAACCGACTAGCTAAATTTGATTTGCTATGCATGACCTGATGTCTTTGTGCACTCCACACCATGTTTCCTTATTTATATGGTATGCGTCAGAAGCGATATTAGCAGGTAAAAGCATGCACCAAAGGCGTGTTCGACAAGCTCGCTTGGGAAATGTCAACGGCTGAACGAGTTATTGACGGCTTGCAGTGGTGCTTCGGAAATCAATTAGTTATTGTGAGAGGCGACGAAACGTCAGGCAGAAGCTTCGAAAGCAAGCATTATCCAGCATTATTTACATGCACTTATGAATTCAAACTTTTAACTACATATAGGTAAATGATGATTCCTGGATGAGCAAAAAATTGAGCAAATAAATTCACGCCTCGTATCACGGCACTATCGATGTCAACAGCAATTCCAGACATTGTCCACTGACATTGCGAGTTCGGAGCTCGCTCTTCCACCCTCTTCAAGCCAGAATTACATCAGAATTCGGCCAAATGGAATTATTTAGAGTCATGGCCAGATTCGAGTTGGAGGTTGGGACTGGGCCGGGTATGCTCGTTTTGAGAATTGAGATCATAGGCTCAGTGCCTGAGAGTATCACGTCTGGGACTCAGTCCGCAGGCGATTCAATAGGATTTAGTCATGGATGGAGTCAGGAGCATTGACTCATTGAGTCGAACTGAGTCTTGACCCCTACTCAACTCATGCCCCTCTCAGGTTCTGAATCGACTCGAGCTCGGGAGCCGGGTCGGGTCAGGTTCAGAATCCGACTCGGTCCGGAGCTGGTGTGCCATTGCATGCCGACGGACGGTCCGTTGTACCACGTGATCGGGACATCACGTGACCGGCCAGAACGGCTGCAGCGGGCTGACGAACCGGAGTCGGGCGCAGGACAGGGGCTCCGCCACGGTTTTGGGATTGGGGGGGTCCGACCCAAAACACAAAACCTCGATGGCGGATCCAGGGTGGGTATTTTGGGCGAATTTACCCTCCCCCTCCCCTGTGCAGCTCCCGAAGATGATGAAAAACTGGGCTTTTTCTAGAGCTCAAAGAAAACTTAATAATTCTATCGGGAGAATTCTGCTTTAAACCGAAAAAACAAGGTTCAATTTGCACAAGGAATCGAAAACCGAAAAGCGGAGCTTATTGACACCGACATGGCGGCCTCTCAAATCAACGTTCTTGAAGAATGGAGGCCGCTGTTGCGCACTCCAAGGGCGGTGTTAGCCATCAGACAGCGCATTAGGCTCTCAGTGACTGGCATGGGCTTGGGAATTCAGGGACCTTCATAGGCGCTCAGATATCTATGTAGGTTCTTAGGCCAGTGCCGGGTTCTCCAAGGCCGTAGTTAAAGGAAAGCGCAGGGCTTTAGGAGTCGTTGAAGGGATTTGAAAGCCTTGCCCTCATACATAAAGCAGTATGGAGTCCTTAGAGACTGACATTCAGTCTCTGTGATCAGAAAGTGACCTAGCTTGACCTGAAAATGGATATCAAAATGCTGCAATTGAATCAAAGATCAGGTTATGCAGGGGATCCTGTAAGAGTTGTGACTTGTAGACGTATCTCTACCGACCTGCATACAGAGTCCTGTGCAGATTATTGCAGATTACCTCAGAACGGTGTGAGGCTGCTTAGACTTGTACGGTGCTCGAAAAGACCGGCTTAACCCCCTTCCCCCTACACTATCGGTTGACCTCACAAGGAAAAAGGATTCTCAGATCGATTTGAAGCTCATTTAGGGCGGGTATTGTGTCTAGGAGGTGTCCTGCAAGCTGGACCTCTCTCACGAAATTATTGCCGAATTCTGGCATGCTTAGCTAATCCTATAGCAGTAAGCAGTCTTAAACGCATTAATTTTAATAAAAAAAAAATGGTAGAATAATGGCACTCCCGTACATATAGGTCGGCGAGAGTTGAACACTTCGTGTGTCACAGCATTTTAAGGGATCCCTACATTTCGAGATCTTAAATTCCTTAGCTTTGCAACTGTCAACACATTCTAAATTATACAACACATTCTGTAATTGATTTAGTCATTCTTATGCGAAAACAAGCTTATAGTTATTCGGAATATTGGGGGGTACTGTACCCCCCAGGTAAATTATTGAGGGGGTCCGGACCCCCGCGTACCCCCCTGTGGCGGAGCCCCTGGCGCAGGAGACACGTGGTACCCAGCGCCGGTCCAAAGGGCGGCCGGGGAGCGAGGACGCGCTCTCAGAGGATGCATCCTGGGAGGACACGGTGAGAGGAGGCGCCGTGGGGAGGGCCAAGGGAGGGCGAGCCGGGGAGAGGAGGAGACAGAGGGACGAGACCGGGAAGGACCTTGGAGGAAGAGAGCGGGAGATAAGTCAGCTGGACAGGTTCGTGCCTGAGAGAATCCTCCCGGCTATCGACCATAAAACAGCTTAGCAACGGTCGTGAGTTGGCTCACGGCCAATTTTCTCACGACAGTGTTGTTAGGTCTGGTTACTTGGATAATATGTCACAAACATTTGAATTGAATATGTATAAAAGAACAAAAACATTCAAATCACGACACATTATGAGATTATCCCCCTCAGGTTCTCGTTATACTCACATCCGGGATACATCGGGCCCCTCTTGGCCATGTGACCGGGTCGGTCCCGTCCCGCTCCGAGCCGTCTGCCCCTGAGTGGCTGTCTACCGGCGGCGAACGGCCCGCACCTCACACCTCCGGCGTCACCGATACCGCGCTGCACTGCCGCCGCCGCCGCCGCCGCCGACCACGCAGTCGGGTCCGCCCAGCCCCATTGGTGACCTTGGGGCAACATGACGTCACACACTGTTCGCAGCGACCAATCGCGGACACGCAGCCGCGGCCGGGCTCACTGGGCAGCTGCCGGGGGTCGCGGAGACGCGGCACGGCGCTGGTGTGTCCCCTGGAGTGGTGTGAGGGCCGCACGAGCACCGGCACTGCACTGGCGCACCCGACAGCGGCACTGGGCCCGCGCGCGCCACCGGCCGACCTACAGCTCAGCGCCGATGCAGGACGGTTGTTGTCATGAGAATGGTTCGCCGGCCGGCCGCCAGGTGGCAGGCGCCACTGCTTGCGAATGCAATGTCGTTGGGTATGGGCGCTCTAGAGATGCCGATTTCGAGCTGGGAAATTGAGCGAGACGGCGATGGTGGCGGCGAGTGAGGGTGTTTGGGGGGAGTTATGGCACGGTGGGCGCTTTAAGAGGTGTGAGTGGATGGAACTGGAAGGAAAGCTGTTTGGAACCGCAAAAGGTAGATGCAATGCAAGCTGCAACACTTGAACTGACTGATGTCCTATCTTTGTTTATCCCTTACGGTATGTTATTTTCATTACCTAGCTTACGTAACGTATATAGAAGAGACATTGAAACGTAGGAACATGGACCAAGGACCAGCATCACCAAAACGAAGGCAGGCTAATGAGAGAAGAAATAACATCTCATCATGTGGAGGTCTAACATGGTAAGCAGGAACTTGGCCACTTGGCTGGTTCGTGATTAGCAATGCAAATTTCTCAACTGCGCTCCCAAATAAAACTGGCCGCAACCCAAACATGTAGGATGGGATGCACATTAGGCTAGCCTGTACAGATCAGTGGCTCTGACTGACGCCGAAACCACATAACTGAAAGATGGACGGTATTGGAAGACGGGAAATCAGACGAGAGGACTGGATGGATCACTCGTCAGTTTGCATGTTATTGAAGCGAAGTGCACTGGAGGTTGACGTAAGTAGGTAGATGCCGTAAAACACGCAGTTCTCCACTCGATGTATCAGTGATAGGTCTCCCAGTCCCGTTTCCTGAATTTTAGAAGCTGCAATGTGCAGCGTCCATTTTACATTGGTACTTTTTGCAGGGCGGTGGACGCACCAGTGCAAAACACTCATGTTTGCACGTAGCTCGTTCATGAACATTTTTCTGGAATTATGCAGTTAAATTTACGATATTCAAAAGATAATAAATCAGTAAATTTATCCAACTGTAGGCGTAACTGCATTTAGGTAGCCCGGTAACCTAAGACATCACAAACAACGACCTATGAGCTGAACAATCTCATTTAGTCTAATACGTCTCAATTCTCAATTTGAATCACTTTTTTATTTTGGATTTATAGTACTGCCACTGTCATTTTCATCGTCAGACGTCAACTGTCCCGATTCTCCTAATCCAGCCTCCTCCCGGATTGACGCTTCACATCCGAAACTAACCCCAAGTGTACCAAGCTACTCGGTATATATGGAAATAAGATTCCACGGCATGTAACGCTACAAACCGCCATTTTGCGACTATTCACAGATTCGCACGGCCCCGCGGCCGCAGGACTGCCGGGACGGCAGTGGGCACTTGGCGCAGACTGTGCCGCCGCGCGCACAGGCGCTGCGGCACAGTCTACCTTCCAGACGTCTCACGCACAGCGTTGTCCGGCGGCGAGCTCATACGTGGAATGGTGCCGTCTGGCCTCTGCTGAACGGAAGAGGTTCGCAGGGTAGGTTGACGAGGGCATTAGGGTAAACGAATTTCACCCCTTTCCACAAAAAAACTAATGTTTGAGTTTTTCAAAAAGGAAGGCTTGTCTTTTGCCTGAAACAGGCAGCGGGCATGGAGAAAAGAAGATTGTGTTGACCAAAGCTATTCTCTAGTGTCATGCGTCCTATACTCGTAGAGGTTCAATAAAAATATAAATTTACGGGCAGTCATATACGTATACCTAGCAATATAACCAGCTCTGTTAAACCAGCAATTTAACTCTCTGTTCTGTTGGGCTCTGCCGAGCAACGCGCCCGGTTGGGGGGGGGGGGGGCATTTTGCCCCCCCCCCCCTTAGATCTCGAGAACCACGCAACATAGCGACAAGCGGTAAACGGCGTTGGATAGCCCCAACGGGGAACTACTTTGTGACCCAATTTTATTGACCTAGGTCAAACCGATGACGTCACAGGTCAGGTCAAAGGTCCAATTTTCACCGTTTACAGGCATTTCAAGAAATGCGTTGTAAAATCGAGTAAAATGCATTTCATTGAAAATCATCGATGGGGAAATGTTCTTCAAACACATAGTTTGTTATCTGAGGTCACTGATACCAGGTCAGGTCACAGAGGTCAGGTCACGGGGGGGGGGTCACAATATGAAAGTGTCGTGTGATACATGTTTTATGGTCCATTTTACATGACAAATGCGATTATGTGGGTCAGGCAGCCTTTGGGGCCAGCTTAGGTCACGTTTTGGTCAAGGTCAGGTCAAGGTCAGGTCAAGGTCAGGTCAAGGTCAGGTCAAGGTCAGGTCAAGGTCAGGTCAAGGTCAGGTCAAATTAGGTCAAATTTCAAAGTTGATATTTTTGCATAAAATGGGCATCGAATTGATGCAGCTCGTCACGGGGAGTTCAATGATGGTCTTTGTTTTGCCGTACGTGGTCTAGAATCGCTAAAAATTGAGTTCAAAAATTTGACGTCAACATTTTTGAACAGTTTTTTTCAGGGGCGCGGGAACTACTTTCCGACTGGGGGGGCACACCATAATAGAGATTAACCTAGGGTACACTCGGGGGCAGATTGATGTTCTACAACTCTTTATCCACCGGGTTCCTATGGCTCAGCATTGGCAGCAGCCGCCTGGTACCGGTAGACTGTGCCGCTTCACTTACTTGTCAAGCGGCACAGCCTACCCATCCGTATGACACCGGTCTGGGTCGGTGGCTGGAAGGCGATGTGGGCCGCCTGTGACGTCAGCACAGCGGTGAGGGCCGAGCCCGGAGGCATGGCTCGGGTCGGCGCGGCGCGGCGGCTGGCGAGGGCTGGGGAGTGAGGTGGGGTGAGAGCACGGACCATCGCGCGGCTGAGCGAGTGTAGTTAACTTTCGCGTCTCAAGGCGCAAATTATTCTACCTAACAATTGTGCTAAAGCAGTTGTTAAAATGTTCTATCCCCAAGACAGCGCCTATCATCATACTTGCCATGCACATTATGACACACTTAAACGTGGCATTGGGACAGCCGATAGAATTTATATCACACGTGCATCGAGTTGCGGAGCTACATTGTTTTTAACAGATCAGTATTAAGGCCTTGATTGAGCTCATTGGTGTCTATCATTTCGCACAGCAATCGTCCAGAGACGTGGGAACTGGGGTTTTTGGATAGCGCGGCGTCCCAACTTTAAGCAACTCTTACTGTTCCTCTAATGTGTGGTCGCAGCCACCAATAGCAAACCGTTCCATCTAGGAACAAATAAGTCGCGCACCTGAGACGGTTCGAACCGGGTTTCTCCAACCGGTCACCCCACGACGCTAGCGTGTATCCACTGAGCTGCCGAAACCAACGACCACTCGCCGCGGTCAAATGCGATCAAATGTCACAATACTGTCATTGGCGGTCAGCGGGTGAATGTCATTTTGTTTTGTGCAGGCGAGGACCATTCTCGGTAGCTCAGTGGATGAACGCTCGTGTCGTGAATTGGCCGGTGGGAGAAGCCCGGTTCGAACCCCCCTGAATGGCCGACTTTTTTGGCTCCTAGTTGGAACGGTTTGCTATTGGGGTGCGACCACATATTAGAGCAACAGTAATAATCCCTTTAAATTGGGGCGATGGCTGCGGCACTATATACTCATAACCCCCAGTTCCCACGTCTCTGGACGATTGCCGTGCGAAACAATAGGCACCAATCTGCTCAATCAAGGCCTTAATACTAATATGTTATACAAAATATAGCTCCGCACCTCGATGCACGAGTGACATAAGTTCTATCGGCTGTCCCATTGCCACGCTGTGTCGTAATGTGCATTGCAAGTATGATGATAGGCGCTGTCTTGGGGATAGGACATTTTAATTAACAACTTAGCACAATTGTTAGGTAGAATAATTGGCGCCTTGAGACGCGAAAGTTAAAGGTAGTGTGCCAGCTTTCTTGGACCGTATGGAGTTAATGGCCCAGATAAGGAGAACCGGATTTTTAGAACTTATCCATACCTTCAAAACTCATGGAAACGTCTTAAATTCTTCAAATTGTACCCCAGTGCGAAATTCGCCCCGACGGGTTGTCGGTCGTACCCCAACCACATTTCACACCACTATGAACAATAAATGCACACACTGAAATCGCTATTACCGATATGCTCATCCAATCAAGTTTCGATAAACCGGTTCATCATCATCTCCTGCGGTTTCGAACACGCCTGTTAGGTGGCTTCTGATGCTCGTCGATGTCGGAATTTCCAAATACGCGTGGTGCGTCGGGCCGCGCGCTCTGACTTCGGCCAAGAAAAATGCGTCAGCTGATCATTGTCATTTCTGCCACTTGCGTGTGGTGAAATGGGGTCATAACTTATAGGACGGCTTTTTCATATCAATTATTTTACATAAAATTATATTTCAAACCATAAATAATGTTCGACAGCCAAATAAAAGAAACAATACCAATACGGGCTTACAGTTTAAGGCTCGACATTGTGTTGTCTACGATTAGACAGCTGATAACTCATTCCCGTACGTCGTATGGTCGTAACACTATAATGACCTTTGCTTATTGTCACAAGTGCGCCGCATTCGCGATTGTTGCCCGACGCCTGTTTGCAGGTGAGCCCACTACAGTTGTTATACATATCTAAAAACCGAAAAACTTTTAGGCGAAAAAGGCACTATTCCAGGCCCATTTTTGATTTTTTTTGCGATATTAGGTAAAAACAGAAGCTTCTTATCCTAGGAAAAATAGAATGGGAAATCTTTCAAAGGTGGCACACTACCTTTAACTACACTCGCTCAGCCGCGCGATGGTCCGTGCTCCCACCCCACCTCACTCCCCAGCCCTCGCCAGCCGCCGCGCCGCGCCGACCCGAGCCATGCCTCCGGGCTCGGCCCTCACCGCTGTGCTGACGTCACAGGCGGCCCACATCACCTTCCAGCCACCGACCCAGACCGGTGTCATACGGGTGGGTAGGCTGTGCCGCTTGACAAGTAAGTGAGGCGGCACAGTCTACCGGTACCAGGCGGCTGCTGCCAATGCTGA